GTCTTGGTTATATGCCCTAGATGAGTCCAAAACAAACACCTGAAGGAGCAGCACTGGAGACAAGCGGGCACCTTGCCATGAACCTAACGTCCACTATCTCACACAGTGACAAAACAGAAAGAGAGCCTCATTAGCCGCCTTCGTATGGGCATGCACATGCAAAAAGTACAACGCAACAGTGAAGCTTCTGGAGTCTTTTGTGGTGGCTGCAAAATGTTTGGCATAGAAAAGCCTCAAACAAATAGGACTGTAGTGTGCAAAGACGGATGCTTTTTCGCACCACGGCTTTCCTGCTTCTAGTGGCTTGGGCCCACCACCTGGATGAACAATCGGCTGTTTAATATAGTGCTGCCTCTTGAACAGTGAATTTATCATTGCCTGAGCCTCTTGCAACTCGGACCGTAGAGCAATAATGCTCGATGCGACAGTTTCAGCATCCCCAGCGTCAAGCCCCTCTCCGTCTACTGACGTCCTGCGGAAGCCCCCAGTCTCAGTACCGCTACTTTCACTCTCCTCTTCAGCTCCAGTTAGCGGCCGTTTCCGGCGCTTCCGACTGTGTTTCTTGGGGGGAGCTGCACGCATGATCGCACATGAATATAAACCAATAAAAGGATGTGACCAGCATGCCCTTCTCAGTATGATGTAAGCATGACCGCGGGCAACACATCACATATCATCATACAAGCACTCGACACCGTTTCGGTCCTTGCCTCTATATATCTACCCAATTCAGTGTTAGTGAAAAGAAGAGCGTTCGCGCCGCAAATTTGTGTAGGAACGTTGTCATAAGTGGTTCAGGTTGCAGCACCCTCCATTTTGAACACACGCTCAGCAGGCAGACAATGTTTGCTCAAATACTTGAAGGCGCCCATCTTCAAACAACATGAGCGTGGCTGCGCTTGCTATCAAAGGAATTCACAGATGCAATTCAGCCAACGAAAATGCTTGTCTGCCTGCGTACTTCTCTCCTCGGGCTCCATTCCGTCAAAAAGTTCATTCCCCTCCGCCTCGTTTTCCGATTCTTCAGCGGAGGCTTCCGCAGCCTCCCGACTCAGGAATGCTTCGACTGAACTCGCAGATGCTTTGCTGCCTACACATAGAATGATGACACATGGCGCAGCACAAGCCGTTAAATGTAGCTAGTACTTTTCCAACAGCTCAATAGGGAATCGCACCCCTAAACTTACAAAAGCTCGAACCGATGCACGTAAACAGAGGAAGCAAGCGCCCATGCGCCCACGTGGCCACATAAGAAGCACTTATGTTTTGGACGCATTCTTTCAACATGTCAGCTATTCCAGCAACGGGATGAAGAAACGTGCGAATGACCTGCCGCCGTCCACCGAAGTCCATTGATGAGCAGTGGTTCCAACACAGTTCCACTCACTTTTCACACCCTCGGCCTCCTCCTCGTCTGCCAAAGGAGTCTTTGAATTCTGGCTCGTCTGCTTGTCAACAGTGGGTGAGGCGACAGGAGCCTGTGCCGCTGAACGAGCTGCATTGCAGAGGTCTTCAGAGGACAGGCAGAGTAAGCCAAGAGTACCATCACTTCGAAGCAGCAGTAGGCAGGCAAACGGGGCAACGGCGGGAAGAAAGCAAATACCCTGCAACTGCGCCTTTCCGTCATCTGCAGATGGACAAAAGACACAAAATACCCACGAGAGAATCTGAGGAGGCCTTCCTAACTCATGTAACTCGACAATGAAATGGTGGAAGAAGTGCGCAAGTACAAGACAGTGGATCTGAGGGCACAAGTGGCTTATTTACTGCGTATTGTCATAAGCGGCTCCTCTTGTTGCATCCTCCAAACGCATATGGTGCCCCTGGTGGATACACCGCACATCAGCGGTTCGCCTTCCCCCTCATTGGGTCCGACCGATACTCTACCATCGGCAATAAAACCAAAGTGCTGAACAAAAAGCAAAGGGAACGCGGCTTCGGTCTGAGGCAAGGACGGCGCCTCAGTTGCCTCCTCCCAAGCAGTTGATCTGGATGAACAGCGGAGCTGTAGAGCCCCTGGAAGCAGCAGTTTTTCCTCTTTAACCCTGCACGCAGAAAAGCGAAGCGCTGTTAGGACAATTTTGGACCAGATAACCGGAACACAACAATGATGGGGTGGCTAACGAGGCACCGGCACTGCTGACAAAACAAACTTCACACCAAGCAGGTTGAGGTGGCGGCTCAGCAGATCCTGTAAGCTTCAAAGGAGAGAAGTCCTTCAAAACGCTAAACTGCCACCCATCACGCTTAAGCAGGACCAGGCGCCTTTTTCTGGTGCTGATGGCTGCATGGTCGCCTCGGGGGGACAGAGTGAGACGGCACCCTCCGTCCACGACGCTGTGCACAGTTCAGGCAGCGCAGCATTATATGCAGTCTAAAGCGTTGCACAGAGAAAGTGGCATAGCGAATGTATAGTTCGGTAATTCGTGAAAGGTCAGGTCCAACTCACGGGAATTCCGTTGTTTGGTTTCTGTCTGGCCATGATGCAACGGCAACTCCGTCGCTATACAGCACGACCACCATTAAAACCCATTTGCTGAGGCCTTCCTTAGTCTTGTCTGCGTCAGCCAGTCCTGTGTCATCCTTGCTGGTGACGTAGCAGCACGCAATATCGACAGGCTCGGCCATCCGGCAGCATAGGAGCTGCTTTGATGAGCCAGTGAGGGAACGTGGGAGCTTCTGTCCCCCGATCTCCCTTTGCTCTTGCTCCTTTACCTCGAGTAGCCATAACTGGCCGTTTGACAACCCTGCGAGCAGCTGGAGGGGCGCTTCATTCGTATGGGCCTCCGCTGAGGCCAAGGCCGTCACGCCGCAGTCGGCTGCCGACGCCGCAGCAATGGTCAGCTTGCAGCTCTCTAATTCTTCAGCCTTTTCGCGAGTTGGTAGCAGACGGTGAGCGATGACTGTGGACGACCCATTGAAGGTGAAAAAGTCCGCGGCGAGCGGCCTTTCTGCATGGTCGGAGGGGCCTTGAGGCGGGGAGCGGACAACGGAACACAGGCCCTTTGGATGAAATCCCGAGCCTCCACTGCTATACCACTTTACACTGCGTCCCTCTCCCTCTGCTTTCATCGTCCCAACTTGTTGGTTTGTATTCTGAAACGGTAGAGACCTCAGCCTGGAAGGAGGAACCGCAGTGTGCCGAAGTCACAAATGCTACGCCACCACTTAGTAAGACACGCCAAAAAAATCAGCTCTAGCACTTCATTTTAAGGTGACGAGGGCAGAAGGCGAGGAGACTGTAGCTGGCTGGGTTTGGTTGCAGCTGTGTGCCCCACCACTCGAGTGCTCAGTACCCGAGGGCCTACTTATTATTGGGTAATATGCAGCTTTGTCTTCACTATTGAGAAAAAGCAAATGGCTGTTTTTCCGTGCCTTACGGTGAAAATTTTGTCACATGGGGCTGGAGCGTGGTGGTTGAGTAAAGTGTGTTATTGTGGCTGGTCTGATGGGTGGTTACTGGTGGGGCGTGGAGACAGCAGGTAACGAAAAGCTAGGAGCAAATGTTGAAATACTGACCTCAGGCTACCAATTTTCATACAAATATGCGGATATTGTTGTGTTTATATGTAGACGCTCTCGCGAATCGACTGTCCCAAGAAGACTGCCAGCAGACTGTTGACTGTCTCTTAGTGGTAAGCAATGCAAACGCAACTCCGCGCCACATGTTTTTGGACCATGGACGCAGTGTAAAATCAAGTGCGATTTTCTGACACACGATATTTATTCATGAAAAGAAGGTAAATACCGCTAAAGGCCAAATACAGACAAAGTTCGAGACTAAGTTTCCTGGATATGTGATAGTTTGGCGATGGTACTTCTACGCCTCAAAGGCTAGATAAGACGTCATGAAAATAACACTGTAACACTCCATTTTGCATCATGCCTTGCTCCTTCGTCCAATAGTACTTACTCCAGCCAGCTCTTCACTAGGGCCCCGTAGCGGAAGTAGAATCATGCAGTGGAACTACGGTAGGTAGCGGTTCTCTATGGCCTTAAGCATACCGAATGAAAGGGCTGGAAACCAATGCAGTCTATGCTAGCTTTTGTTGTGGCATGACTGAGGCGGCCTCGACGTATGCCCACCTACTTCTTGGCTGACCTCTCGCCAGTTCTTGATAGTTAACAAATCTACTCACTACTGCTGAAGTGACCCGTTTTGGCCGCAATCTGTTAATTACTAGCCTGCGTAGCTTCGCACACATGTGCTAGGGAGGGTCTGCAACTTGAACTCTGCTGTCTAACGCAGAGAGTAGCATGCGCTGCGCTCTACAAGCGAGCCTGTGAGGCCAATATATGACGGCACCATAGCATCTCCCTACTCAAGAAGCTAACATCTAGTTCGTCTGTACGACCCACCCATTTAGCTGTTCTGCGAACGAAACGTGCTAATTTTGCTCCAAATACCAAAAATCGCCTCGGCTGGAGATTCAAACGCAAAGAATTTAAACAAGAGTCTACCGAGTTACCTGCCGGTCCGGTGCTCAAAAAGCCTTAGAAGTGATGGCGCAGGGGCCGAAATGAGCATTCCCTTAAGGTGCACAAACTTAGGGCTGCGGCCCGTGATGCTCAGTTAGTCAGCTGCATTTCATGCATGAAACTAATGCAGTGTGCGCTGTTCACAGAAAAGAAATCAACAGTAAATCACATGGAAACCCATGCTACCGGATACACCAAAAACTGTCCGTAAGGAAAGAGGCATTCACATTGTTAGAAAACAGCTAGTGGCTGCTTGTGGGCGTCGAGTCATGTCATGCGACAGGAAACTGTAAAGCATGAGGAGCAGTGAACACAAAATCAGCGAATTGGCCTTCCCTCAACAACGCCGCTATTTTCCCGAAGTGGAGCAAGACTGCAGCTGCAGCCCGGCACGGATGCCTTTGCAAGTTAGCAAGTGGACAACACCAGAGTGACTTCTACACGATATTGCACGGAGGCTTTCACTCAGCTCCAAAATGTGAATGGAAGCCATGAAAAGGCAGGGATAGTCGTGGCAATCTTTAAATGTCCAAGTCCTTCATTGTGGCATACACTCGGGGCATTTCAAATAGAGCCATCTCCTGAATACAAAGCAACACCATAGCATGTTACTGACACAGGAGTGGCAGGCAGCAGCAAAAAATTGGCTAGTGTCCGCAAGAACGGCATAGCAGATTGCAATAGAGCCTGAAGGCAACCGTATCAGCTCACATTGTGAAGTGACAACCGAGCGTTGGTGGCGCCCGCAAGGACAAGGGCTGCCTCGACCCTCTGTCTCTCCACATTACATCCAAATAACCCTAGTCGCCTCAGCTGCTTCCCTGTGCCGAAAATATTGGAGCAAAAACAATACTGGCTATGTGAAATTCTTCGCAGGGCAGCGCGTTCTCTAACACAGGGGCACCAACGGCCACAAGAAGAGAACTCGCGGTCCCAGTCGGTGCACAGACGATCGTCTCTGAGTACTTGAAAGCGAGGAATCCATAAAACAGTAGGAAGCGAGCTATTGTCTCAGTCACTACAATCTGCAAAGGCATCGCGCAGCTGAAGGCACATTTGCCACAGTAGTACCTGAAGCAACAGTGAAGCCAGAATCACAAAAGGCGGAAGTGACCCTCCAACAATGCGAAACGTCAAGAAAACGAAGGAGAGGCAGCTCAGCCAGCAAGTGCACCAGCAAACTATCATCGATAGCCCTGCGACAACAAAGGCAAATGCTGCAGGAAGCAAAACGCCATGAACGGCACGGATGGTGATACTTGAAGAAACAGAGCGGCTCCTCGAAGCGTGGCTTCGTTCTACGGTGTTGCTTCTGCATATTTGACAGTAAGCCGTGAGTTGCATGAGTCAGTCAAGTGGGAATCTCCAACAGCGTGAAATGCAGGCGAATTTTGAGACAGGAAATGGCCAGCAGCTCACGCCGTGTGGCTTAATTTAAGGCGCGTAAGCGACTGGAGAGAAAATGCCAGGCGAAAGAGACAGTCGCGAGAAACAGGGCCAGTGCAAGAAAGATCCAGCATCTGCAGCTTGGGGCAGCCCTCCACAACAGCCGATACAGTTAGCGTGGTTACTGCAGTGTCTGTGCACCCGGAAGAAACCACAGCACTGAGTGTACGGTCAAAAACGACAAAGGCAAACTTGGCTGGCGTTCTCTCCACTGCCAAGCGACCTGCCCGTCAAGTCTTTGTAGAGCTAGCACTAACAGTAATTCCGCGACTCTTGCTGTGAGCAATATTGTGGCCGCTGGCACTACCCACCTGCCAAAACGAGGACTTGCAGATTGTGTAGAGAAGCAAAGACAGTGGCGGACGAGTCATCAATAGCTGTCCCGCGCAGATCAAGAAACTCCTACAAAATCACGAAGGGTCTGGATGTTTCCAGCAATCAGCTGTTGTCAGCAACCCAGAATGCCCCAACAGAAGCAGGTTTTCAACAACGGCTAACCGTGAATATGAAGCACAAAGAGCGGTACAGAATGCAGGCTCACGAGCGTCTTTTTCGCGTTGGCCAGGACGGTGAAGTCTTTCATCTCGCTGCATCGGGCAAGGGATAAAAATTTGATTGGAGCTATGCACTCCTCAACTTCGTGCTGAGGTTGTGCATGTTCCTGCTGCTGCTGGTACTGTTTCTGCTGCGGTGTCAGAAGGGCCTTGATTGATCGGCAAGTAAGGCGGCAGCATCCCCGAGCTCCAACTGTCAGCCCCAAGGCCACCCGTTCGAGCCGAGGCAGCAAACCCAGTGTTGACAGGGCTTCATCAGTCAAGGAGAAGGAGTCACGCAGATCTACACAACGCAGGTCACGAAGCCTGCAGCAGCCGAAATGCACCGGTTTGGAATGCAATATCCACCGAAAAGAGCAGAGCGAAGCAAAAGCTAGCCGGAAGCGCCAACAGCGCCACATGCAATAGATTGTCAATGGCATACGGATGCCATTGCGGCGACAGTGTTTCCATTCCTGCACACCTCAGGAGAAGTGTCCTTAGGCTCTTGTCTGTAAGTTTGTTGCACCGACGCATCACCAAGACTTGTAGCTTCTGGGGGAGAGCGTTGCTACGGGCTCGCGAGAGACGCTCTATCTGTGATGCACTCAGGCTTCCCCCTGCGGTTATCTCCAGTAGTCTCAAACTTGGCGAGCTGCAACATGCGCCCGCACAAGCTGCAGTGGGTTCACATCCATGCGCCAGCATGATCTTTAGGGCAGAATGACCGAAGTGGGACAATAACTTAGCACGAGCTGCAGTGAGACCTTAGTGTCTTGTTCGCTCGTCCCCAAATCTTGGAACAGTGTATATATTCTTTGGTGTAGCAGTGTCTTGCCTCATTATTGCCTTGATAAGAGCTTCTGCAGAAGACGTCGAAGCGTCCCCAGAAAAGCGCAAGATCCTCCGCTGACGGCGAATAACCCCAGCAAAGCGACGGCAAGCTGAGCCAACAGAAGCAGCAACAATGCCAGACGCAAAAACACAGGCAATGCCTTGCCGAAGCCTTCAAAATCACCGAAGTTAATTCGTCTTAAGTCCATCTGGCAAGCTTCTGCAATAGCACGAAGCAACTTCGGGTCGCAACAGCGGCAGCAGCAAGAGCGAAAACAGCATAAAGCAGCAGCAAAGTAACATAAAAATAAAGTGCTCACTCGTTGCAAATTCCTTTCCGCCATAGTCAAGGACATGGAGTATCAACGGCTCGGGCAAATCTACCCAGGGTCGTGTAAGACGAGCCGGATAAGCGGACCCAAAATCGCGACCTGCAGTAGGTGCTGGAGCTGAAGCTGTAGGGGCCTTGGCAGAATTCTCTCTACCAGAACCCCAGATCATGCAACCTGCATGGGGAGTAGTTGCGGATGCTGCTGTAGGCTCCAGTTCTCGGACTGCTGTTACTTTTCTCGGCACTGCGTCCGCCTGCAAAGTGCGTGACGATCCTGTTCGTTCCTGCTTGATGGTGTCCACACCGCTGCTTCCACACGCATTGGGTATAATGCCAGCACAAAAGCTGTCAGGAGAAGATTCTGACGCTGCGATTCCTGTCCGTTGCAGTTTCTTATGTCCCTCAGAGCTATTAAGATTCGCCTCGTTAGTGGCGCTTGCTGTACCACTCAGGCTGTATGGGGTGATGCGACGTTTGTGCCTCCAGTTGAAAATGTGAGCCAGATCCCCTGCTTTCGGGGGCACTTGCACCGAGACGTTGGCAGCCGATTTCTCTGCAGAAATTGCCATTTGGCACTGTTCAATTACTGAGCTTGCCGGCTGCGGCCTCAAACAGGGCAGTTCTACGTTGAGAGATGGTGATTCACCTGCTGAAGCTGCTGCTCCACAAATCTTCGCCGTTGAGTCAACGGTTGCAGCATCTGCCGATAGAGCGTCTGATCCCTTTGCTGCTCCTTGTGATACTCTTGAGAAGTCATCAGGGAGGCTATTCAGCTTTTCTGCTGCGCATTGCTCGCCTTTTTGTCTTGCTCCAACAAGAGGAGCTCCCTGCGGCGGTGACACTGATGTAGTAAGGGTCCCGCTGCCCTGTGCAGGCTTAAGGCCAAAGAATTGTCTGAGAGCCTTGGCCGATATTGGAGCCGCTTTGCCGGTTGAGCTGCTCTGGTTTGCCTTTCTCGTGAGCAATGCTCTCTTACACTGCTGCGATTGAACGCCCAAAAGTGTTGCTACCGCTGTGCCACCTGCAGTAGCTGCAGCAGCGTCTGCTGCGGCTTCTTGCGAAGGTACTGGTGATGAAGTTGCTGCTGCCCCTCTGCAGGGAGCACTCGGCATGATTGCAGCCAAGAGACGTACAGTACAATTTATGCAGAAGATGGGTCAGTACGGGCAGACTTCAGTTACCCAGTACCAAATGTTCAGGGCAATGGCTTCTTAAAATCACCATACAGAAGCTGCTGCTGCTCCCGCTGCAAATGCCGTCGCCTACTTTATTGCCGCAAATTGTTGAGGTTGCTGATGCTGCCGCTGTTAGCATGGAGCTCCGTTGGAACAAGCTATGTTGGTTTCACTCTCAGATTTTATTTCGGGATGGATGTAAAACAGGGCCCTCCCCCTTAAACATGAGACACGAGCGGATCCCTTTGCTTAACCCCAAAATGTTTTCATGAAGTATTGTCCACTGAGATGAGGTAGCAAAAACAACGCTGTAATAATAACCGGTACCAAGGCGAGTACTGCTGCCGTTGCTATACAGGGTGCTGTTGGTGTTGCTGCTCCTGCAGGCCTCAGCAAAGCACTACGGCTGCCGTAGGGCAGTATGGCATATGAACCAACACTTATATAAGCTTCCAATAAAATGACACTCACAGTATTTCGTGATTTTTGACAAGTAGTTGGCATGGTCGTGAGAGGTTGGTTTACATGATGCAGTCGCCGCATGATTCGTGAGATCAGCCACTTAGGACGGAAACTGGGTCACCGGCACCTGCTCTGGCAAGCATATTTCAGCCATCCCACGAGCCAGGTCACTATTATATTTTATATCCTTATTACGAATTAAAAGCAGTGCCCATGATGGCTTATAATTGTAGATTATTGAACATAGCTGCCCGAACAGTTAAACACCACCCAGACAACTCGATACGTGTCACAATGTAAAACGGGCAAGCATAACAGAAGCTCTCAACTGTTCCGTCCTATATTAACTTAGCCATATAAGTGTCAGAAACGTGTGACTGTGCAGCAATTGGGCTTCTCCTGACGACAAGGGCTCATGTGTGCACGAACGGACATGGGCCAGTTAAGAAAGTATGCTTTGAGCAAGGCATGATGGCGATAGCAATTGGACATAGTATGATCAAGAACAGTGCTACAGTTATATGTGCATAGCGGTGTAATGATGCCCGCTAGTTTGATGCATCACTGCTGTCCAAACTGGTTTTAGCTGTGCATGCACTCAGCGTTAGATACGTTGCGTAACTAGCTCAGAGAGTGCACCAACGCACAAAGCGCGACAACTTACACTCTGGAGGAATACACGCCTGAATAGCGATACTACTGGACAGAAAGGGATTTAGGAGTCGGGGCCAAAACGCCAGCAGCAGTAAAGGCGCAAAACGCGCCTCGAAGGGAGTGAACACGATGGACCAATGGCCTGTTTTCTGTTATTTCTAAGACCGATGGAAAAGGCTTCCATTTACCTTTATCCGCTAGTAGATAACTGCTGAGGGCATCTGCTCTAGGGTGCGATAAACAGGCTGAGTGTGGCAATCACCCTGATTTGGCATACTGCAAACGCGGCCCGCTTAACGCTTAAACGAAAGTATGGCATGTCCAATCGAGGGGGAGAGAGCGCATTTGTAGTAAATTTACACCTAGAGAAGGCTACAGTAGCGAATACGGCATTCAGCAGTTAGTGTGGTAGTGCCCGCCCAAGTACCTACCATTATCGTAGGAAATGAGTGTGCTATCTTGCTAAAGCGGTCTACCGGCAAAAGGTCGCATTCCATGCTATGTGAAGATACCAGTCTTTGCCGTGATTAAATCATGGCTGACATGAGTTCAGCGTCTAATAAGAGTAACAAGCGGCTAAAGGGTCAACGGCTTTTTCGTTGCAAACTCTCCAGAAACTGGAAACTGTAGCACAGAGGAAGTAGTTGGCAGTCAGAGCAAAAAGGTATATGGCGCTCCAGCCTAAACAGTAGAATCTTACTTTTGTGGTGCAGCACTGACCCATTTGCTCCACCGGCCTGACACTCCAACAATAATTCGTCCCTAAAGAAAATCTAGTTTCTTAGCTTCCAAACAATAGTACTAATCACTTTACCCACGCACTGGAAGGAGTAGGCTCACAGTGGTTGTAGGTGTTTGGGTTGTGGTGAAGGACGCTTGCTGCAGCCCCTCAAATATGATTGTGAAAACGAGCAAACCAAAGAGGCGAGCGCACACGATCAATACTTACAATAAATAAACTTGGGGGACTCCGCCTTATTTCCTACGTCTTTCGCACTCTAACTGTTGAGGGCTGTGCGCATCTTGAGATCCCAAATCAATGCTTTTTCGGAAATTGCCACCGTATCACAGATTTGCCGACTTAGCGGCAAGAATTTCTATCAAGGTGTTAAGAAAAAGTTGTACCTGTATCATAAGAAGCAAATCTTTGTGCATTCCGTAAAGGAGCAAAGCTGAGGTTCGTCCCTAGAACGCTCTGAGTTCCTATAGCCTACAACGCAACCCAGTAGAAACTTGGGTTACCATATGATTCGCCCATATGAACTCCCGATCAATTCCCTGAATCAATACATTTACTCGCAAATATTCCCAAATTATCCACACATCCTTAATGTCTGGGAACTTAGCAAGGCTCTTGCAGCATTAGAGCCAGCGTAGTGATCTACCACTTTTTCATGTACAGTATTGAAGCTTCACCAACATCAAATCCAACATATTGCAAGCCCCTCAACTATGGGAGCTAGTGTGCGCAACAGTGGCATGACTAGTTAGCTGCGTGCTTAGCACTAATTCGAGCACATTTTACAGCAACGGCTCCGGGGGCTAAATGTAGGCAAAAACACTGAAGAAGAGACATCAAATCTAACGAGAAGTTAAAAGGGAAAAAGATATTTTGGTGGAGGAGAATACTACGGAGAAACGCCTAAACCGGGAGCTCCAGCGGGTGCAGCGACTCTATCTTGTCAGCTCCGTAGAAAGAGGCGACTGCAAGCCGCAATATGGTATCACAAACATACACTTCCGAAAAGGCAAGTAATACAGATGGTTTAGGTTCAGGAGTGTTAGAGCCGCCTCTTTGGAAGTGCTCTATCGTCTGAGTAAAACTCCATTGAGACCACCTCACACCTTGTGTCTGGCCATGTCCAGCGACCGCAGTCTAGATCCCCAGCTTCGTAAATATTTTACATGAAAATATACGAACGTAGTTGACAAAGTCCGGGGGCTTTTGAAAACCGAAATAGAATAATGCTAGCGTCCACGCACTACTGTGCCATACACAATGAAACACTCAGCCCCAACCGTGGTCTTGCCGCTGAGCCACAGGCGTGAGCCCTAATTCGCTACGTCTTTTTCTACACAAAACACACAACCCCACCGAGTTATTCATTTACTTACTCTATTAAATCTATTATGAGCAGCTTCAGAGTATTGTAATGCCTGTCATTTCGTCGCAAGCAGGCAGCCAAGTACCTGTCCCACCAGTGTATATTGCTGTCGGAAAGGAAACATAATTCTATAGGACTAGTGCAAAATAACAACCAGCTACTGCATTTAGCAGCTTCCATGTATTTTCTTTTTCCAGAAGTGTCTTTAATCTAGCATTTTGGATCTTCTTCGGCCCCAGAACCACACTGAGAAGGTTCTGCAGCGAGAAAACCTTTGCTGCGGATTTTTCTCGTGAGCCTCCGCATGGCCACTCGTTAGTGAATCAAAATGGCGGGCACATCATCCTGTTCAGTGCCATGGTGGGCAAGAATTGAGGGGGTGGTGTGCATGACCTTTGCACTCCTGCTGTTTCCTGCTCTCGCCTATATCGTCGGCGTATTCGGCATCATAATCGTGTACTGTGTTACTTTGGGCTGCATCGCACTCCTCTACGCCGCTCAAGTATTTCTTAATCGCTCTGCGAATACCTCAAATCCACATGAGGGCCGGACCTCGGCTCCTTACTCCATCAAGGGGCGTCACGTATTAATCACGGGTGGATCGAAGGGAATTGGACATGCTATCGCCATTGAGGCGGTACAAAAGCAAGCAAAAATTATCACATTGGTGGCTCGAGATGCTGAGACACTCCGGGAAGCACAAACCAAGTGCTTGGAGGAAGCGGACAAACTGGGAACAGCAGTCGTTGTCCAGACAGTTCCAGCGGACTTAGTGAATAGCACGGCAGCCATTGAATGCTTGGATATCGCGGCTTCTATGAAGGTGAATGGGCACCAGACACTGTGTTGGAGTCGCACGTTATTCCAGCTTTAAGATAGTACTCAAACTACGGAGACAACCAAAAGCCAGCTGCAGTTTACATGCGTGCAAACAGCCTCTGACTGGCTCGCTCCGCTTATCCTTATTTGTTGCTTACTATGCTGTGCCGCATTTCAATACCTTGTTGCTACTGCACAGGGCAACCTAAAGACATCCGCGGCCTGCAGCAGCTTAAAGGAAACCCAGGAGGATGCGCCGATTGAGGTATTTTTCTGCAACGCAGCTGACGTGGATCCTCGGCCTTTCTGTGCTATGGGAACGAGCAACATCAGTAGATGTGTTGCAATGAATATGTGCACCCCATTCTTGCAAGTTAAGCATTTACTGCCATCCATGATTCAACGCCGTTTTGGGGCTATCTGTTTCACGAATAGCTTGACGACCTTCGTGCCGATTTACGGATTTTCAACATACAGTGCAACAAAAGCAGCTTTGAAGGCCTTCGCCGAGGTGATTAATCAGGAAGTTGCCGGTATGGGCATTCTCGTTGCAAATGCGTTTTTGCCGAGTGTGAACACTCCGGGATATCAACGGGAGAAGCAGGTTCGGCATAGGGTAAGCAATATCAAAGCCCGTCCTTGTTTCACCTGTGGAGCTATTCAGAAGTGGCGAATGCAGCCTTGCCTCACCTGCCGCTTGTGTATACATAGACGATTGCATATGCCTTCAAACGTATGAATGGTCCAGCAAATGTTGTTGTGGCCAGCTTACTGAGATCCTCGAGGAGACGTCTAAAATCAAGCAGCCTGAAGAGGTTGCGGAGCGGCTTGTCGCCCATTTAGAAGCAGGTAGGAGATTTCTTAAGGATGACCAAAGCCCTTCCTTATTCGTGTCCGCCCTCGTGCGTACTTGATTTCCGGGCATCAGAGCCTCCTTTAGCTTTCGACGCCAAATGCTTCTTTGTACTTTGCACCTGCCTCTTTCTCATTTTAAACAGGTCATCGCATTATCACTGTGGACTTTGAGGGTTGGGTCTGCGCGCGCCTAAACGCTGGTTTTTCAAGAGGTTCGTGAAAACTAAGAAACGAAGCTAGCGTGTGCAGCGTGAAAGAGGGTGCTAAGGGAAACGGAGTGCAAGGGATATGGGGAGAAACTTTTTCGCTCATCAGGGGCCTTCATGTGTGCCGGTTTGGATGCCACTGCTTGCGTTCTGCTAGGGCTGGGGAGTTTCAGCCAAATGTTTAGAAAATAAGGCAAAACCAAAGATTAATAGCGCTGCCCTTGTTTTCTTGCGTATTCAGCGGAGTCCCTAGCCAGTTTATTTTACGAATTCCTTCTCAGCGGCATTTTCCGGTGAGCGTCTGTCAGCTTCGCATATCATGTGCATTCGTTTTTTTTTTGCAAAATAAAAAACTGTTGTGCCTGATTTGCACTCATGAATTCCTGCGAGCCATTTTTGCATTTATCTTCTTTAGCGGAGCTGCCTCTTCGGGTGCTGGTGCTTGAGCTTGCTTCTGTCCACACGCTTTCAAATGTGTTTGTATGGTATTTGCTTGTTTGCAGCATTGTTAGTCTAGCATTGTTTCTCCAGTTCTTCTCTATTATCACCCGGGAGCAGCCTGCTACTTTGCGAAGAAGCAAAATTGCATGAGGGCCCCATTTGATTATATGTGTTATTTATTGCGTGACGGAGTTGACTACAATCCTATGCACTACTTCGGTGGCCGGGTAACAAAGACGAGTCATGTTCACCACTCCGGTATATGCTTGCCGGCTCAAAGTTTATATGCTGTTGCATTGCTTTGGGCTGAGCCCAGAGGCTCCCCATCTCACGTCTAAAATGCGTAGGAGCGGGCGTCGCGCTGGGGTGCTCCATTGATCTGACTTCATTGCAAAAATAGTGCAAAGAGTCCACTTGTTTGTGAAAGAACTTTTATATTCGAAGCGAACTGGCTAGCGGTCGGTTCACGCTGCCCTGACGCACGCCAACTGGTTAATGATTGGCGCACGCCCAGCTGGCGCAGTGTAAGCTGAACAGTTCAAAACGGCATAAACGATGACGGTCGTGCCATGAGGCCACCAATGTTCGCAGCTGATGCACAGCTGGATTAGACGTGATTCTCAGCGTATTAGGATTAGATTTGACAGGGTTGTCAAGATACAGGGGACAGATCCCCGAGTCTGGCTGCGAGGACCAGTGGATTGTTCTAGAGACTCGAGCATGTAGCGGTGTTGAATTTTTCGCCAGTTGTTACGGTCCTGAAAGTGAGATTCGTGGAGTGATAGACAGGGCGGTAGAGACGGTGGCAGTTCTCGCAGTGGAGGTGCGTACGAAACAACATAGCTGGCTAGTCGAGGTTTGCTTATACTTTGTAGAACTTGCCTTTAGTAAAGTTACTACAGTGTGTGTACTTCGCATGGCTCAGTTCTGAATTTTGCATATTTCAGTCGTAAACGGGTGTTGAAATACCTGGAAGTAGAGCTGCGAACCAGTGGTTGTTCAGAGTCTAGGCAGCCTTTCGGTTAACCACGTGACGGCACGCTGCCCATATAAACTTTGAAGCCACTCAATGCAGAATTTTACTTGCACATGCATGAACATTCTACATTTGTCTCTAGACAACGAGAAGAGAAGAACAGGCAGAGGCTTACTGGGAAGACCCTATGAGCTTTTACGTCAGGGGTCGCGGGCCGCTGTCGGCTGCGACGCAGGCGGCCCCCGTAGAATCTCGCCTCGGGTTTTCTCCTCCCCGTTGTGTGTCGTTTTGCAATTTGCTTTGCTACATAATGGAATTTTAGTATGGCTAAGAAAGGCTTATGTGGGCACTGCGGGATTTCTTGCCCTTGCCGGCGACAGACTGGAACGCAGCTGACGGTGAACTGCCTCGACTTGGCCATCGATGCTGTTCCTCCGAAACGCCCCGGACCCTCTGAAAACTTGTCATATCGAATAAGAACTGTTTGGTTTGAGTGCAGTATCAAGCGGACTGGCCGAGTGACTGGCCAGACAGGCTAGTGGAGCAAAGCTCAGAAGAGACAACGGAGTGGTGGACTCACCTAGTGGCGAACGCGTTGAGGGCCCTTCGTCTTTTACCTTTTCCTCTAACTCTCTTCAAATGACGGATGCTTTGAAGGCTGCCTGTTGAGCAGCCTTATTGTTCCGCCGAACCGAACGAAAAGCCCTTGGTGCTGGAGTTCACCGTCTGTCCTGTCGATACGCAGTGATATTCGGCCAGTAGTGCATCCCTTCAATACTATCCATGCTAGAATGAACCAAACTATGCAGTGTTGGCCACCGCAGGCCGTAATGATGGCCCCAGGCTGTGTTCCCGAAGCAAATTGTACCTTTTCTATAGATATTGAGCCCACATCCGTTGACGGCCACGAAGCAGAAGATTCGGCAGCTTCGTCTCTGTCTGAGGGCAGAATAAGAGGACAGTATCTCACGCAACGGCGGCATGAGGAAGTCATTGGCTCCGGCAGTAACGCAGAGGGTGATGCAGGGTTACTTTGTCCGCACTACAACCAGCATCACAAGGGAAAACACTATAAACAGTATTTGCAGCAGAAGTCGGCAGAGGCTCAGGCAATCAAGGAAACTACACGCCCACCGCTGTGGAGAGTTCCTATTGTCAGGCAACCCCTCCCGGTTAGCGTAGAAGAATTCAACCCAGCAGAACCTAAGTATGCAAAGTTTGTCAAGGCCCTATGGTCTCACGCTAAAGCTACAGTGGAAGATAAAAGCAGAGCTCAAGATTTCTCTGAGTCTCCAATGGGGAGGGACCCGCTGCCTGAGCGGTGCACAGAGCTGGATGAAACGGGGTGGAGACGGAAGGAACCCATACAGCATTCCTGGCAGGACCGGCCGGGAAGCGTAGGCAGGCCATCGAGCCCTACAGTCCTTCGACAGGGGCCTTCGTGGCTTGTGGATGCTGAAGGGTACGAGGGACCCTATGGATCAAAGGGGGACCTCAGGTCGAAGGGAATGAGTTATGAAAGTAGGTTTCAGCTGCCAACCCTTTCTTCACTGATGAAGGCAAAACATGCGGTGTTTGTCAAGGCGAAAGATCCCAGGGCAGGCAGATGTGTCTCGGAAAGGAAGAGGACTACTCGCCGGCGACAACGACGAACAGGGCGTTGTCTATCTTCCCCACCTAGTCTTCAAACAGCCACTGTCTCATTTGAAATGGTGCCGTCGGAGCAGCCACAGCAGCCACCACCTGCTGCTGTAGCGCCAACCGTCCACTTTCCATCTCCTCTTCCGCCGTCTCCAAAGGGAAGCCCCCATGAAGAAAGTTCCCCCAAAAGTGACTCGTGTAGCAGCCCTAGAACTTCACTGGCGCCATCGTCTGACGACGACAAGGGCAGAAGCAGCAGCCAAGAAACCACGCCGAGTAAGCAAGCTAGCCAAAGACCTACGGAGGGCGGGTGGACTTTACAGATCACAGGGAAAGGAAAGTGCCGCTATCCCGAAAACTACGTACGCTGGAAGAGGGACAAAAGGCGCATGAAGGACCGACTAAAGAGGCTCAAGGCTGGACAGATATTTACAAGCGAGAGACCAGAAGGCACCTGCACAGCCTGCCAAAGTCCCAGCCTCTGGTGGGATCCACAGCCTCTAGCTGAACACCTTCACAGCGTCCGCAGCTTCGGCTCAGCACCCGAAGATGACACCTCATCAGGCAGTGACCTTTCGCCTTCTTCTCGAAGTAGCAGCAGCACTACTAGCACGGACGGAGACAGCAGTCCGAGAAGCTGTAATTCATTCCATGACAAGGGAGATGACCCTGTTATGCTAGAGTCTCCTCAAAACGTAACGTACTTCTCGTCTGCCCCCCCTACAGTGACCAATACAGTCGTCGTACCACCCACCCATGCATACCCTTTAGGTGGAACTGGGGCACTTCTTCCTCTCAGGCAATTTGTACATTGCCCTTTGAGGCTCCCGTGCACTCCAGTTATTGTGGGATCTTCCAGACCGCTGCAGAGGCATCCAAGGTCACAAAAGCCCCTCTGTCTTGCAGGCGCATATCGGAATCTCCCAGGGGTGTGCTGCTCCCCTGAAACTCCCCCAAAAGACACTGATGCTTGCGTGGCAGGGCCCCTGCTGGCATCATCGCCGCCGCATTCACTGCCGTTTACACTTCCGCAGCATCATATTTTGTTGACTCCTGAAGTGCAACAGGGGCAGATTCTGCTTCCTCAGCATATGCAGCAAATGCAACAGGAGACGTGTATGGTGCAAGCGCCACAGAGGTATGTGACTATGCAGATGCCAGGAACGGGGATCTCACCTCAGATTGTCACTGTATGTTCACCTCAGCAAGGCCCATTGGAGCCGCATCAGCAGCCGCAGCGCCTTCAGTATGAGGTGCAGCAGGAAATGCAGCCGCAAAAGGAGCAGAAAACGCATGAACAGCGGAAGAAAAAGTCAGTTTTAAAGGAACTTAATAGCGCAAATATAGGTCCGCAGCCTCGCTCAGAGTGGAGTCGAAATGGAGCTTCTAATCGCTTCAAACAGCAAGCCGCAAGTGGCAAAACTCACATGAGGCGTGGGAGTGCTCCACCAAGTGCAAGTCGTCAGACAGCAAGAAGCAGTACGGTCGGGCATCACCAACTGCCAGCCCATCCTACGCCTACGATGCCTGGTCCACCCCTTACGAGCCATGGGGGCTGTCACCTTATCCAGCATGGCCAACTGCAAGGATTAGTCTCACAACCTCCGATTGTGGCGCCGCAGCCTCTTGGTGGTCCTCAGCTGCTATCGGCAACTCCTGGAGCTTTTTACAGTGGACCTCAGGTTGTTTCACGAAATGCCTGCACACTTTATGGAGCATCGCAAATGGCTCCAGGAATAGGCCAACGCTTTCAAGGAGGTTCTACGCCGCTTCACAATTCTCAGGTTTTGCCCTTAGCGCCCACCCAAGTGATGTTGAGACCACCTCAGCAAGGACTTGGCGGAACTACTTGGGCTTTCCCGGGCACTGCGAATCCCTTGCAAACAACGGAGAGGCTAGCATCTCACTCGAATTTGCTCGGATACAACGCCCAACATGCTGTTACCTGCACCCCTCCAAGGCAACCCATTTTTGTGGGGGCGTTTCCTTCTGTCGCTCAGCAGCAAGCGCCAACTGTGGTGAAACAGTCATTACTACAGCCGCTTTTAATCCAGAAAGCACATCAGGGCATTCCTATACCGCAACAGCAGTATCACGGATTTTCTATGCCGCAACAGCAGCAGCTGCTCACATTCCCTCAGCAGCCTGTCGTGGTGCAGCAAAAGCAACAGCCGATTGTGATCCAGCAGCAGCAACAAGGTCTCACTTTTCAGCAACAGCAGCCTCTAGTTATGCAGCGGCAGCAGCCTGTTGTGATACAGCAGCAGCATTCTTCGCAGCCAACTGTCTGTCATTTGGTGAAGCAGCAGCCAAGCCCCCCAATCGTGATTCCGCAGCAGCAGAGAACCGCGATTATAGCTCCGCAACCCTCCACTGTAGTAGTACAGCGGCCTCCAACTATCGTACTGCAACAGCAGAAGCCTACTGAGCAGAAGCCTACTGAGTCAAAGCCCAAAGAGAAGCCAAAGGTCCCATGGCTGTGGAACTGCAGCATCAATTGCGGAGCCAGGTGCGGAAGCAACAGCCCCTCAAGTAGCCGGGGTGAACAGCGGGAACAGCAGGCGCAGCAGCCGCGAAAAGAGCCTGAACAACCAGCCGAGCGAGTGCAGCCGAAAGAGAAACCGTTACGGCCTTCCGCTACAGGATATGAGACGAAGGCGCATTGGGAGCATCCATGTGATACTGCAGCAGCTCCTTCAACTGCTGGTGCTGAACGAGCAACCAATGCAGTGGCACACGGAAAGCGACCCTCCCCGCAACGCTCCGCTAGCGAAGCTACTCAAAGAACAGTGCGGGATTCCCGACAGACACAAAAGTATCTCCGTCCTCCACAACAGGGAGACTTCCTGCCCGCGTCACCCAGGAAATACCAGCAACCAGTTCCTCTCACGCAGACTATGCCCCCCTTAGTCACCTCTACGCACGCAGCCGATCTAGGAAGCCAGCAGGTCTGGATGTCACCTGCACCAGTAGTGTGCATGCAGAACCAGCAGCTTCAACAGCAAGCACAGAAGCAGGCACTAGGTGTACTGAACCAGGAGCAGAGCGAGTCACAGTGCTCTGAGCGTGATGCGTGGGAAAGCCCTGACCGGATGGAGCCTACCTTCAAGTATTTGCCATTCACATTCAGGTCGCCAAAGCGAAACATTATCTGTGGGACAGGAAAGGCAGAACACTCTAGAGAAGTGCCTGCTTCTGCTACAGTGACGCAACAGCAGCAACGCTCTAGCTGCTGTGGCACACCTGGAGCGCAGCTATCGGCAAGCCTTACATGCAGCATGTAGGATCTATGTTTCGACTCAAGCAGCCGCCCTATTCTGTGAGTATTGAACTGCAGGTTTTGTTTGGGGCCGACGCATCTGCGTTAGCAGGCTTTAAGAGTGAAAAAGTTTCCCAGCATGTGAAGGCCTCAACGAAATCCTGCGGTATCTGTCATACTAGCGGATATTGTCCCATCAGTAATCTAGTGCACTAACTTTGGCGCAACTCAGTTTCTACTGGTGAGTCGGTGTGCGTGGCCGTTCAGGCTGTCCAGTCGACGGGAAACACGCTCACGAAAAGTCAAGCAATAAATTGCAGTGCATTTAACCATTTGTCTATACCCGTTGGCCCGTTCGGGTGCCAGCTCGTTTTGAAGTTTCAATATATAACATTCCTAGTGACACACGCTTGAATTTTGTCTATATGCCGCTGTGCTCGCCGCAAATCTGTTAATAGAAAGCAAGCCGGCGTAGAGAAAACTGTAGCAGACTGCGCTCGCCGGTGCTGACTGGGGATGAGGATGGCATTGCACCAAGAAAATAACCAGACCTTAACGGAATGGATAAATTGAATATGAGAACGAGGGGGAAAAACGTCAATCAGAATGGGCGCTCAGTCACTCTGCCTCTACACATCGCGCAAGAACCCCAGGACTGGCCTTCTACCAGAAGGTCACCTGAAGGCATGAAAAACAGCATGCTGGTGGGCAATAATGTTAAGCGAAGCCTCAGAAAACTACAGATAAGCACGGGCCTTGAGCACACAGCGGCTTACGAGGACAGACCGACATGCCGCAGATACAAACAGCAATTCGTAAGACCGACAAAACCAGAAGTGAGAACAGAGGCACTTAGGGATAGACCGCCGCAGAGACTGAGCATATGTTCAAAACAGTTTTGGCCTCCACAACTTCGTACTGAGGGGGTTCCACACTCCGCATCGTCCGCAGAGTATTTTGTGCTTCAGAAGATCCTCCAGCTCTTTCTGCTTCTCTTTGCTCTTCTCATGTGTCTCGGCTACGTGGAGAGACAAAAGCCGCAACTGTTGGGAGTAGTTTTCCTCTGCCAGGCGAGCGCTTGCTGCAGTTTCTGTTGCAGCAGCAACAGCAGCAGCTGCTGCAGCCGCTCCTGCTTCCTTCGAGCGGCGAAGCTCACGGTGCAGGGCAGCACGCTGGTCCTCAAGCGCATGAACAGCCTGTAGCCGCACAAGCAGCAGAGGAACGCGACAGCACCATCACTCGTTATGTCCTGCCGCAGCCGTCTTCTTCTAGCATTGCATGCTGTGCAGCAAAAATGCAAAATGCCACATCTTGTTCCTTTTTATTATATTCTGCAGCTGTAGACTGCTGCTTTAAGTCACCTTGAAGGCGCTGCTGAGTTGCATCCTGAGTACAGCGAGAGCTGCTGCTTCCGCGTGCAGTTTCTGCTGTAACACCAGCAGCTCCTCCGCATACACGCTTCTTTTCTCTTCAGCAGAGGCGTCAAAAGCCCTGTAGTCACATAGTGAAGGCACAAATATATACAATCGCCGTAGGTGAATCACCGCCGCAGTCGCACTTGGTGAAACCGCCGACTGAGCAGCCGGGGCAAACGTCAAAAGGGGAAAACATACATGCTGGCCAAATCTGCTTCCTTAGCTATGAAAGCTGCTGCATCTGCTGTGGTTGGGCCAGCCAGCAACGCCAGCCCCTTGACAGCAGGATCACCTGAAATGAACAGAACGTATGCGGCACAAGCGGCGTGTGCGGCAGTAGCAGGAGAGGCCTTTGGAATATAGGTAAAAAGCATGAATATAAGCCCTAGCAAATTACGGATTTAGCAAATCCTCTCTCTCCCACGAACCTTGACTACTAGATCCCTTAGAAACAACAGCTGCAGAAGACTCTGCAGCGGCAGGAACGTCGGCAAGCACAGGCAACCCTCCTACGCCACCTTCAAGGTGCGCGGAGCAGCGGCTGCTACCGCTCCTTGTAGGAGATGTTTCAGTGGTAAAGCTTGTAGCGGCGCTACAGGTGCCTCCCCTTAGCCTCGCAACTTCAGCCTGGAGCAGCGCGACTGCCACTTTTGCTTCTCGCAGCTGAGAAGCGGCCTGACAAGTAAAGTTCACAGTGGGAAACCAGAAGGAAGCTCAGCAGCACTAGGAAAGAAACATAAACTGCAGCAGCAACAGCAGCGCCAGCGCAAGGCGTAATGCCTTTGGACAAGAAAAGCAACTGGACTGCTAGAACTGCCAACAGAAAGAACAGAGCGTCCTTTGGGATAGGACAAACTGACTTTGTTTGCTTCGGCGACGCGCTCCTCTAGTAGACGTACATCAGCCGCAGCGGCAGCGACTTGGGCTTCTGCCGCCTGTCAAAAGGGTAGACAGGGCGACCGACTTGAAATGCAAGGGATAACAAGTGGGCGGCAAACACTCAACGAAATCACCCAGCAAGGGCAACCTCAGACAGATTCAAGGATGTGGAAAAAGGTAACAAGCCGTGCTACTTCACATACATGTAAAACAAATGGGAATAAAGGTGACTGAAAACAAGTACTACTGACCTGGCGCTTGCTAAAGACTTGTCTCGCATCTCGTGTCGAAATTTTCTGGCCAGAGTTCAGGAGGATGGCGCGAATGTTGGAGAGGCATTGCATGCCTCTAAAATACAGCAGTGGGTGACAAGCAGGAAAAAGAATAAATAACATAGCCAATATAGAGAACCAGGCCCAACGAGACGGGGAAACACGGGTGAGGATAGGCACAGCACAGGAACCTTAAGTCTCTAACTCAATTCAGAGCGTCGAAACGCGAAAACTGAAACACCTTTCGAAAAATGTGGAAGAAACATCCCACAGATCTGCAAGCTGGAAGTGAAAGGCATCAAAGGCGAGTGGCAGAAACCAGCTAATAAGTGGCTTTGACTCACACTGTAGCGACGTCATGCAGAGGCTCTGCGCGAAGAGCCGCGTAAGAAGGGCTTTGCTGCAGCAGCAATAGCAACTTAGAGTGATGCAGCAGACGGGAAGTTCCCCCGTCTGCGTTGCTCACTGCACGTAGCGCCTGCAGCAGCGACAGCATGCAAGGTCCTGTGCTGCAGCATCAGAAGAGACAAAGAGAAAACACAAGAACTTTACCGACGGGAATTTTAACAAACCAGTGGCAGCAATAACGTCTAAGGGTAAATGAACGCTACCTGCACGATGATGCGCTAACGCAGCAAAGAACGTATCAGGTACTATTCCCCCCCTTAGAAGCAGTCACAACAGAGCCGCATTACCCGGACAGCAGCAGCAGTTGCCCATCAACTAGGTCTGCGGGACGACGCATGCGGCCAGAGAGACAGACAGCCATATTCCCTGATCATGGAAAAACACGTAAAAGGACGAAATAAGACCGCTGCGTCTTCTGACCCGTGAGTGGCCTTCGCTGTACACACAATGCGCCGATGCAGGTGCCGCTGCAGCACCTCAAGCTTAAGTAGCCGGCCCGCAGATAGCTTACGGAAGGTCTGCAAAACTGTCTTCAACTGATCAAAAAAAAGCTGTAGCAGTCGCTCTTTCTTTGCTTCTGCCGCTCCACGCCATCGTGATAAGGTAATTCCAGCTGACGCTGCTCCCCTGTTACTCCTCAACTGATGCAGCCATTTGCTGCATTCAGACTGATGTGGTACATCCTCCTCCGTCTGCTCCGGTTGAAAAGTTGAAGGCAAACCACCACGCCACGGAAATAGCGTTGATAGATCCAACTGCTGCCCCTTCTTTCCCTGGTGCTGCACATGAACTGATTTAGAGGGCGACAAGGGAAGAGGCGGCATCCTTAACTCTTGCTGCAACTGACTCTGCAAATCCCCATTCTGGTTTTGTTGCTGCTGGCACTTCTCAGCAGCAAGGAGCTTTTTTTCGTCGTGCTCTAGCTTTGAGTTAGTGAGAACGGCAGTCAAGGTCAGAAAATGCTTCTCCGAGAGAGCATCGGTGTGTGCTGCAATGTCATCATCACCGCTGTTGCTGGGTTGCTCTCCCATATATTCAAATGCAGCAGCGGCGACAGCACTAAGCGCTGCAGCATCTCTCTGTAGGTCTTCCAGACAAGCCCTGTGCAGTTACAATGCAACACCTTTTCGTGAGTGCGTGCTAAATGTGTAGCTGCGGCATTGGCTTCAAAGAAAATCAATAAGGCAAGCGAAAGTGAAAGCAAAATGCGCATCTACGAGCAGGAAACGGAGAGACAGCACCAACAGCAGCAGTGGCTCCATGACGTGGAACGCGAGCTCTGAAACGCTACTGCAGCACCCATATGTGTTTCTTACATGAACGGGTCCACGTTACTACCGCGGTGTTCATCATGCTTTGCATCTAGCTGCTGCCGCTGGTGCTGCTGGGGGCCATTGAGGGCGTCGTGCTGCAAAGAGACTGCCAGGAGAGTCAAGGAGATAAAACACGAAAAAGCAACGCTGAACCTTCTTGTTTCTTCCTGCACGCAACGGAGTGGCATGGCGAATATACTTTGGTAGCACACATACGCACAATCGCAGCAGCAGTGCTCGCCTGCGGCAGGCCGATACCGCAGAAACGTTGAATTTGAGAGTGTTGACTCTTTGCACACGCACTCGAACACCTCGAAGCCCCACGTCACAACAGCAGAATTAGCACACATAGAAGCTACGGGAATGCTGGTGCGCTAACCTGTATCTTGCCTGAACAAATATCCAGGTTGCTGTTGGTCCGCCGGGCCAGAGGTTCAGCACTAGCGACAGCAACAGCAGCAGCCGCGTGTTCAAGCAAAGAACAGATAGCCGTAATGGATGCCACTGAATCGAAGGCAGCTCGGCGTGCCTGAGGACAGCGGACAAACAAAAATCCTGCAAATCCAACAGCAGTGACTCCAGCAATTGAAAGTAGTGCGCGGTCCTAAGCGACACCACAGCGACTCCCTTCCGCAACTGCAAAGATGAAAATGGCAGATTCAGCAGCATAATGCAGTGACTTCTTCCGTCCACAACCAACCTGCCGAGTTGCAGTTCGGACGCGCCAGGAAAGGCCAAGAGAGTGGGGCAGGCGGTTGGCGGGTGTATCTGCATCAGACAAAGCGCCTTCTTCATCTGACGGTGGGAGCCCCTCTCCGCCTTGATCTGTTGCTCCTGCCGACACCTCCAGACCTGCTGCCCAGCACAACAGCAGGCGCCGCAAATCTCCTAGTGCGGCGACAATGAGCCGTAGCAGTTCCTCCTGTGCTGCAGCAGCGGCAGCAGCAGCAGCGGCATACCCCCCTGAGGGAAGGTCGAGGCAGTGCAGCAGTGGAATCCGTGAGTAGTCGCAGCCAAGGAGGGTGCTGTAATATGCAACAGCCTGCTGCTGCTCTTGTTGTTGCTGCTGCTCCCGAAGCAGCAGTTGCTCTCGATCTTCCATTGCCCTGCACAGAAAACATTGACATTCTTAATACGCCGAGGTCCTATTGATTCTTTTTACTATGGGAGAACCTGTTATGCTCCTTCTGCGATTATTGCCACTTCTTCTGCTAAAGCCGCTATCGTAAACTCACTGTCTCAGCAATAGTTGCTGCTGGGTGTGAGCGTTCTCGAGCTGCTGCTGGAGCTGCCTCATCTTTTCCTCTTGCTGCTGCTGCAGTCTCTCATACTCTCTTTGCTGCTCTGCGTGGTCAGCGGCTTGCTGTTGTTGCTGCTGTTGCGCTGCCTCCTGCTGTTGCTGCAAAAGCCGTATCGTGGCTTCGAGCTGCTGTTGCTGTTGCTGCTGCTGCTGCCTCTCCTCAAAAGCTTCCAAATGCAGTCGCTCATTCTCTTCTATCTTGAGCTGAAGCTCTTCTCCCAGTACCTAAGTTTCACACGAAAGGGACCCAAGCTCCAGAAGCAGAACAACAGTGGCTGTACCAACGGAGCGGTGGAAGCATTTAATCTCCGTTGGCACGCATACTAGCGTCTACTGTTCAAAATCTGAAGTGTGAGCTTGCACTAACGTTAACAGCTACTTAACAGTGTAGTTCCGAAGGCAATGAGACGAACCTCGACTTGCTGCTGCAGAGCCTTCAGCTCGGCATCTTTGGCTGCTGCACTGCCACCCCCAAGCAATGACAGTCCCCAACTACTTCCCGGGCCGCCTGCTGATGAAGGGTTCGCTGCTCCCGTCTTTAGTAATAGCAGGTGTTGTTGCTGCAGTTGCTGCTGCTGCTGCTGCAGTTGCTGCTGCTGTCTTTTCAATTCACGCTGCGCGGTATCTAGGTCATCCAGCAACTGGCGCTGTCGAAACTCCCCCAAAGCAACCTGCTGCTGCAGTTGGCTCACGAGCCCTAGCGGCTCTTCCTGTTGCTGTTGCTGCTGTTGAGGCTGTTGCTGCCCTTGCTGCTGCTGTTGCTGCTGCTGACGCAGGGCCTCCTTTAGCAACGCATTCTGTTTCTTTACCTGACGGTACTTCTGGCTCAGCTTCTCAACCGCCTCCCAATCACACATTGTCCCAGTCTGAGGCGCTGCCGATGTTTCTGCCTCTTGTGCTGGCCTTTCAGCATCAGCTGCCGTTGCTGTTGCCGATGCATTTGCCTGTTCTGCTTGCGGCGACGGCAGCCGACCACTGGCTTCTGTTTCTAGATGTGCACGGTCTCGGCATTCCCCGGATATCCCGACAGGTGTGGCTGTCGGAGCTGGTGCGGCTTCACGTGCCTGATCAGTTGTCACTGCCAAATCGGCTGTACTCGCCTCTGCTTTATTTCCTGTCATATCCCTTGAAGGAAGCACCTCAGGAGCTGAGTCTTTGGATCCTCCGGTAAAGCCCGTGATTTCTTGTGACGCATATGCTGCCTCAGTTGCTGGGCCACTCGGCTGCAAACATTCAGTTGCACATTTCTTAGAAGATTCACGATCTTGCACAGACGCCAAATTCAAAGCGGTTGGAGGCGAAGTTGTAGAGGCGCCACTAGTGAAAACTGGGGAATTCTTCGAAGCAAGAAAAGCGGCTGGTACTGCAGCAGCCGTTGCAGCAGCCGGCGCTCCGACCACTGGAGCTTCTAGTGCATCTGAAGACAAACTTTGATGTCCCGATGCAGGAGAAGGAACTCCTGAAACAGCCGAACGAGGCTTCGAAAACCCAGAGCTTGATGAACCCGTGGAATAGGGATGGACGTATTCACTGTCAGACGTTCCTCCGATTCCTCCGCGCTCCGTTGTTGCTGCTGCTGATGCTGGTCTTGGCCCCAGCGACCCTGACACTGCGATTCCCGAGGCATCTGCTGTGGTTTCCTTTAATGTTTCGGATGGATCCGATCTGCTAGCCACATACTGTTCCTGATAGGCCCGTGGATGAGGGTCTGCTGCTGTTGCAGACACAGCAGCAGTAGCAAAGGAAGCAGCTCTAGCAAGACTACCCGAAGGAGCAGCACCGAGAGCAATAAGCGCGTCACCACAATCGCGAGGAGTAGCATCTCTGGGGTCAGGAGCAGCGCCCAAATGCGCCTGCCCATCCAGCGGCACATGGGGGCTTTGTTGTAAGATGCCTGAAGTGCTGGTGTTGCTGCTGATGTTGGGCTCCAGCAACTCGGCAAAGGACCCCGAGACACTTGACTGGTGTGAAACGTTTGAGGCCCAAAAGCCTTGCGCTCCCGACGTCACGCTGTTTTGCTGCTGCTGCTGTTGCTGCTGACATTGCTGCTGCATGGGATGCGTGACTTGCGGTGCCGAAGTCCAATCCCCGAAGGCATCATCGGCCTCTCGCGCAGCAGCAGCAGCCGCTATATCTGTTGGCTCATTCGAAGCTGGCCCGAACGTTTTGCCAGGCGAGAAAGCGCAAACGAAACCTGTGGAGGAACTGATCGCTGTTTCCTCCCCCCCAGGCACACATGGTGTTTCGCCCCCAACGCTTTGCTGGTTCTGCTGTCCCTGTCCATGAATTCCCTTCTGAGCTCCCATAAAAGGACTTTGTGATGTTATGAAGGCATCAGCGAGCTCATCTAACGGAGAAGACATGCTGCTCTTCGCCTCTGCTCCCCTATGAGCCGCTTGCTGGAAAGCCTCGCCAGTGTTGCTCACGGAGTCACTGCCGCCACTGCAGCGGCTTCTGATATGTCATTTGGAAGTCAAGTGAAATGGATAGAGTGAAATGATACTAGAACGAGGGAACAGCAGCAGCCGGCAACGCGAGGCCCACTGTTTCCGTAGTCAATGCAGTGTCGTGAAGACTCAGTCCCCAGTCGCTAGAAAAAAGCTGCTTCTGTCTTGTGGAAGACTCATGCTTTTCCAGCAGTGGTTCTTAAACCAAGGAATTCAAATGGGCTGCCGCTGCTAAGTCAAAGCGGCCCCGTACAAGTCGGCAGCGGCCCACGGTTGTGTGGGGTTTGCGGGGGTTAATCGGGCCAAATAATATTCAAAAAGCATTTATTTCATGTCTTAGGGCCCAAATTTTGCAAGCAAGTATCGACAGTCGTGTTATTTGGGTCTCCCGTTCAGTAGAAGGCCGGATTAGCAAAAGCAGCCTCGCGCTGCAGGCGCCTAGGAACCACTGCAGTGCTGCAACAGCCTTTTCTTGTGCATTAAGCTGGCCAATTATAATTTATTCAAACTCTTTGCAGTTTATGTGAAGGATCTTTGCAGTTTGATTCCTCTCAAGGAGAAAATGGTCCATTAACGAGACAAATGGACAAGACGAAGGCTTGCTGCATCGGTCCGAACACATGGAACGCAGCATCGGCAAAGTTCATCTTTTTCACTTTTGCATCTTTTGCATTTGTTTCTCTGCAAAACTGGCCTTCAGCTTTGCAAATTCCCCCCACACTTCTCCCTGACTTCCTCTCCCCGAAGTCTCAACAGAAACTTTCTTTATCTACTAATTTGCTGCTTTCTCATGAGCTCTGGCGCTTCACTAAGTTGCTGCAATCTCGAGGCAGCTTCACTGCAACTCTCCAGCACACCAAAAATGTCTCTGGCGAAACAATTAACCCAAAGAAGGCCTTTTTCTGCTGCGGCCAAACTACACTAGGAGTTCTCTATGCCGCAGAACACTAAAATCCGATGAAGTACGAAAGCCTGGGCTAGCTTCTGCAAAGGCCTACATATATATATATATATATATTACATAATATATACATTATATATAATGTGCGCTATGTAGTATATAATATACAATATATACATTATATATATATGTAAAATATATATATATATTGTATATATGTATAGGTTATATCTGGCTGGGATTAGCGCTCTTAAGCTTCGTCTATGGCATAAAATGATTGCAGCAGCTAATGAGTTTCAAACTCCACACTGCAACAAAGTGTTGAAGTCACAATATGCAAAAAAGAAAAACGGAGGGAAAGCAGCAGAATAAAAGCAAGATGGTCAACAACGCCGGGATCTTGAGCAATCAACAACTCCGAAAGAGCCCAACAATTGTGTTGTGAAGAGGCCAGGCGCTGCGGAGAGCAGCGGGCCAAAAGGGCAAATTCAGAAGTTTCAACTGGAGTCCATCAAGTTGAAGGACTTGAATTCATTTGCCGCTGCCGCCTCTGTTCACGCAGCTTCATGAGGTCTTGCAGCTGCAAATTCACATCCTTGTATGCAGAAGGCTGAGATTCGCAACTCTGGGAGCCAAGAGGTTCCCCCGCTGTTCTCCCCTTGCCGCCATCAGCAGCAGCAGCTGCTGCAGCACTTGCTGCTGCAGCTGCTGCCTTTGAAGAGGAGCTGCCGGGGGCATCCGCAGATGCTACGCAAGCAGCAGAAGCAGCAGAGGGCTTTTTCGATGAAGAGACCTCAGCAGGTCCTTCTGACGGCTTCGGGTCTGGATTTCGACTTCTTTCCGCCATCTGCTGGCGTTCAACAAATTCAAAAACTGAAAAAAAGAAAAAAACAAAAAATTGATCCGCAAAATCGTCCGGCAATACATCGAATGCCGCACTGGAGCAAATGTGCCACGGGCGGTGCGCGGGAAAGCTGAGGTGTACGTACACTCGGACTGCACGGCGATCGCGTCGCTGAGCACCCGGGGGCTCCATATCTTTAAACAGCGGCCAGTGAGGGGGTCAATTGCACACACATGTGGCAAAGAAGTGACCTGAAACAAAAAAATAAATGCAAATAATGCAAAAATACAAAAAAAATCGCAAGTGGAAAGCGGATCGGCAGGGGAGTACCCACGCGGTAGACGTCAAGGAAAATTTGACCTTCCTCGCACTTGTCAGTTCTTTGCCAAAAGATGAAAAAGTCTTTTATCAAGTCCTAAAGCGCAAAGCAAAGGCACTGGAGGCACAAACAAAAGCCTTTGGCGTTTCAGTAAGCCCTCAGTCTACAACAGAGTTGGCCTAGCCAATAAGAAATGCTATACAACTTTTGGGGGCCCCCCAGGGGGGCCCCCGGGGGCCCCCCGGGCCTCTGCCCCACACTAGGCCCGGCCTAACTGCTTCGAAACTATTCAAGTGAGTTCATGTGGAATTAAGAAAAATAAATTAAGTGCCACGGACCGAAGAACTCCTAAAGGACTAACCTGAACTACTTCTGCCTTCCAGATGTCTCTGTTGAGTCGCAGAGACTCAAAGGCGTCCACTTGCTGAATGCTAACCAGCAGCCACTTCTTCTGGGCCCTGGCCAGCTCTCTAGCCTGCGGCAATTCGGAAATTCCCGCAAAGTTTTGCAAATTTTCAACAAGTTTTCCAAAACTCCGATAATCCACGAGTGGAAAGCAGCCAAACTTGAATGTGCGCATTGCAAGAAAACTCTTCAGCATTTCCTTTTCAATAAATGGACACTCGTCCTCCGCTGTCTACAGGGTCTGCAGTGGCAGCAGCCACCAAGAGAAAACTCGAATTAATTCGAAAAAAATATAAACTTGCATGCAGCAAAGTCTATAAACTTGCATGCAGCAAAGTCCACTCTTCAAAAAATATAAACTTGCATGCAGCAAAGTCTATAAACTTGCATGCAGCAAAGTCCACTCTTCAAAAAATACAAACTTGCATGCAGCAAAGTCTATAAACTTGCATGCAGCAAAGTCCACTCTTCAACTTGATGCACTCCCGCAGCTTACTCGGGAAAAAGGCTCCGGGCAAGACAGTCCACCCGGCAATTCAAAAAGTTCGCGAAACGCCACAGTGCCGGCCGACGACTCCACCGCAAGTGTAGTTACATTTCGTGGAGGGTCTGTTAAAAAAAAAAAAGAATATGCCGCGAATTCGAATTAAAAGTGAAAAAAAGGGAAATTTGAAGATATATTTGCGCAAAATTGCAAACTGAACGCTTCGTCTTCCACCGAAACACTCCGCCCTTCATGCATTCCGGTGTCTAGACAGCTGAGTGGTCTTACAGCCGCTGGAGCCTCCGCCCAGGCCTCCTTGGTGAAATGAAGGGCCTGAGAAGAATTAATGGAAGAAAAACAAACAAAAACGCAAAAAATGCATATTTTGAAAGTCTTTTGCAATTGAATGCCAGAATCAAGCCTCCAGTTTTGCTGAGCAGTACAGACAGTGCAGGGGGTCAGTCAACTCGCATTTGCTCCTCAATTAAGTCTTAATTAAGTAAAGAATTCACAATTTGCTGCTGCAGCACTTATGCAAAGAATAAAACGAGAAACTCACTCAAAAGAGTTTGTGAATATTCTGGATCTGGGGCTCTCAACTCTTCCACAGGCTCCCCTGGAGTGCTGCCTCTGTCGTTCCCCGCCGTGCTGTCCACATAGAGGGAAGCTGCTACATTAATGTCGCCTCCAGCTCGCTGCAGTTGAAGCAAATGGACAAAAAGAAGACACAAAAGCCGCGCATTTCTCTCCACATTCCATGGCCAAGTGGGTGGAAGTGGGGGCCCTCAGGACTCCTTGAGAACAAGGGGAGAAAAGCAATTATTTGGTGTTTAATTTGGCCCTTTTAGACACTTTTCAAAGTAATTTGCTGCTGCTCACCTCTAAGAAACGCCGCGCAGTGTCGGCGTCGGGGATCCCTAATGGCACCAGCGAGACGCAAGGCAGCGCAGTGTACATACAGCACATAAAAGGGGCTTCGAAAGCAGCATTCAGTGCAAAGCCATCACATATAAAAATCTGTGTCCAATTAAGTGGGTGAAAGGGAAAAGGCCCGCTTCTGGGGACAGCAGCAGCTGCCAGCAGCCCCAGCAGCAGCTACTCATCCTTAGCTTGCACGCTGGGACTCCAGCAGCAGCAAAAGTGGCGCTGCAGAAGCAGCACTGGGTTTCAAAGTTGGTTCTATTTGCTGGCAGTTTGGGGGCTCTTTCGCGGACTAGAAGCTGTCTTTGGCTGCACAGAAAGCGGCTTCCTGCAGTTCAACTCTTTTCATAAAAGACAATTACAAAAGCCAACAAGAAAGCAAAGATTTACCAGCGAAGCCCATCAAGACGGGAATCGCCTCCGAGGGGTCCATCCTTCCTGCCCTCTCCTTCGCAGATGCTCCCAGAGGGTGGTGGCCGCGTGGCTGACGGCTCTTTGAGGAACTTCAGCTCTTAGAAGAAAATATTTCAACAAAAAGATTCAATAAAATACAAAATAGCCTCCATTAGTGGAAACTTCAACCCCAGCGCTGCGGTGTATCCTCACCTCCGCGTGGGGCCCCCAGCCAGTACCCTGTCGTTCAACTTCCGAGATCTGCAAACTAACCGCTGCCCCTATTGTCCTATTGCTTCCATTCCTTGCAATTCTAAACAAAATAATTGATAAAATGTAATTCAATTAAGCCATTTCCGTCATTTCACGTTGACTTCTCGAGCAGCAAACTGTTGAACACCCTCAGCTTTCCTTTGAGCTTTCAGGAAACAACAAAATCCGGAGTCAGTCGATACTTCTGCAGAGTGCAGCTGCTTATTTAGGGAAAGGTCAGACACTCAACAGAGTCAGCTGCTTCAGTCTGTCAGTGTGTCGCGGGCAAGCTGCATTCAATAGTCAGCTGCAGAGTCTGCGTAGTTTCCATGTCCATGTGTGTTATATGTGTTTATTGCTGCACTTACTTGCATTAAAAAGTATTTTTAAAAGACTTTTATAACATTTAAGAGACTTTTACAGCATTTAAAAGACTTTTGGGGGGACTTTTCAGGCCGCAAACACTGTGGAGGTCACTAACAGCCAATGGTTCCACGAGTGGCATGAACCTCCTGAGAGCATTGGCCAACTGGAAACTGAGGGGAGTAAACTGGGGCACCATAGCCTAGACTGTCTACAGAGCAGCACAATAATAAAGGAAACCACTGGACCTTTTCCCAGATTTCAAAGTTCTCCACAGGCTTTGCAATGGAGGCAGGGACCTAGCTAGGAAGCCATTGGACTGCGACGTTCAGCAGCAGCGTAGCTACAGAAAGAGGAAGCAGCTGCCTTTCTGGTAATGAATTCGCGCTGCAGTAGTGGGGGCTCCAGCTTTCCTGTTAAGAGCCTACCCCTGGTGACCAGTAAGGAACAGAACTACGCTGATAGTGGCAGCAAGTGGAAAGACTTGCGCTGCACCATGGTAGGCTATTCATAAGCTAATAGTGAAGCAGTTTGAGGCCTAGGTCACTAAAGCTACATTTACTGCCACTGCTTAGTTTGAATGAAGCCTTTGGGCACTTTGTTAGCAACGGAAACAATGGGGCTCCAGTGCACTTTCAGCTTTTGTTCAACAAATCCTCAAAATTCTTTGAAATCGTCCATTGTGTGCATGGGGAATGTGCATGCTTGAACATGGACCAATGGTCATGGGCCCGCTTACTTAGAGGCTCGGAAGACAGGCTCATTGCGTGTCTTCAGAATTCATCTTCAGCCTGGAGCTCTCCCAAAAGGCACTTTAGCCATTCGGGAAACCAGCGCCCTCACATTTCCCGAGGAAAACTTGTGTATTTAAAGTGCATAATTTATATTTTGCTTACTTAAACAAACTGCAATTCTACTGAAGGAAACTGGCTCGCGTATGAAGTCGGGAAGCGGTCCCAAATGCCTTGCGCATATCCGGCTAGCAGTGGAGAGCTGCAGCCTTTAGGAGTCAAACTGGAAAACCTTCAGCTAGTCTGGTGTATATCCTACAGTGTTATAGACCCTTTGCATTATATTCATCATATATGATTGACATAGGGGAAAGCATTTGTTGTATTTCAACGGAAAGCGAGCCAGGAGCCACAGGCCGGGAACAAACCGTCTGCAGAAGGCTTCTCCGGTAAAGTCTATTCCACGCCGTTTGCCGGGTTCCGCGCCATGAAGAGGCGCAGATACCAGAGTTCTGCACGAGGGAATACTGGAAAGAGGGGCTAGAGAGTTGAAGACCTTCTGATAGAGGGGATCGGGTGCGTAGAGTGAAAAGCAGACGGCAAGTTTCTGTAAAATTGGCTGCTTCCAATCAGTATAATAAATAGCCCCATTCCTGGGGGCAAACGGCTGTAGTTCAGCACTCAAGCCCAATAGGATCGGAGCACCGATTGACTAGTAAGGAGCCATGCTGCGTGCGCTGGTGGGCATGATATGCGGGTAAGGGAAGCACATTTGTGCAATTGAGTACAACAGGTAAAAGCACAAAGCTCTGGCTGAGAATTTTTGAGGGCCGGTCTAGGGTGTTGCTGCATTCCCTAATCCCAATGTCGCGCTGAGATGATATTCAGACAGTTCCCCGCCCGTGTAGCCGCACTGCTCCTCCCTCTTATATTTTCTTGAGCATTGCACGCACTCGCTTAATTTTCTGTTGGCCCAAATCGCTGTTTATTTTCAGTGACTGCAGCTCTGTCACCATGGATGAGCTCGCTCCGTAACAACGCCGCAGCTACAAGGGCGGATTCGAAGAGGGAACACAGCACAATGCACACTGCCTATAGACGCACACAACCTTTATCCTGAACAGTCTTATTGACTTTTAGGGTTTCTGAGAGGAGCACATCAAGTTGCTGGCAGGCCCTGGTGACAAACAGGTACGGACTGAAGGTGAGGTCTGTAGTGAATCCGGTTTTTCTTCAACTCGGGTGCAGACAGAAGTAAAGTGTTATGCGACGACCGTTCGATTATTCTGCTTTTTCTGTTGAAAATAAAATCAAGCCCCAACAAGGCTTCTGGCTTGACAGAAGTCTCTGTTGGTGGCTTGAGGCGCAACCACCTTCGCTTATCCTGTGTGTTGCGTACCGAACTGCGGTCCCCGACATCAGCTAGCTAATGCTTGCAGGGGCTTATTTCTTCCTAGAAATGGATTTTATACTCATTTAATTTGCCTTTTTTGTTGCTGTTTCGCGCGCTAGGATCTCCTGATCGCACTCCTGCCAAAGCTGACCTGTTGCAACGGACAGAGCTCCTCCAGCCACACACCTGCCGAATTAGCGGCAATTTGCACTCGATTTACCATAAATACCCCAGAAAATAGTATTGGTATTTCTGGGTTTAAGTTGGACAAGAAGTTTTATGCTTTAAGTGCTTCACAATCCGTTGGAACAGCTTGTGTGCAATCAAGGATCCGCAGTTCCTTGGCGATCTTGATGCGCGCCCTTTATCCCGTTCTAGAGATTTGAAATTTCAATCTGCTGAGTCACTCCGCGCAATATTTTAATAAATATTTCTCAATACTCTCGAGACAGCCCTGCTTCAGCTGGACGGAGTGGGACTGGCCAAGCTCAGGCTGTCGTTCTGTTGTAGCCAACTATCTGACTTCTTCGGCTTCCTCCTACTCGAAGCGCTCATCAGGAAAGTGCCTGTGGACTAGCGCTTCCATCTTCCTGCCGTGGCTCCGTTGTTCTGGCCCAGATTGTCTTCGAGAACGGCCAGAGATCTTAGTGGGACCAGCTCTTAAGGCGGCAAAATGAGTGATTCGAAGAATGCTGCGGAGCCTGAGAGCACCTCTATGCTGCCACAGAGCGACCAAAATGCTGCTGAAGCCCCTCAAGAGCCAAACGCTGGAGAAGCCCCTCCAGGCGCCGGGGAAAAGAGTGAGGACGCGGCCCAGAAGACGAGCAAGGACCAGCGTGCGTTAGAGATATCTGAGAACGCCGCAAAGTACAAACGGGCTGCAGACGAGGTGAACTACAGGCACAACCGGCGATCTGCACTTGAGTAAATCCCTTGGCAGTGCAGCTGTGCTGGTCAGCAGCAGACTGACGCTGCACAAGTAGTTTGCTTGTGAGACTGACGCAGCCGAAGCATCCTAAAAAGTCTGGATGGCACGACGACATTTTTGCTTCCTTCAGGTTGGTCTTTGACGACTAAATGGAGCAATTTTTCTTAAACAGTGTTGTAGTTAGAGTGGATTGGGGGTGATCTTGTTTATGCCTGGATCTTATAGAAAAGCTGCACTTACCTTACTTGCTGCAGGCATGCGAGCAAACTGGATATTGTCTTGTTGCTTTGTGGAGGCACCGCCAGTGCTGCCGTCGGGGCTTTGTTGGTAAGCCGTTCGGCCCAGCGGAGTAAATAATCACAGTTTACAATTTAGTCTTTAGCAAAGACTACGTTTTCCATTGCGTTTATCTGCATTTATCTGCATTTTTGTCTTCAATCGGCCTTTCTTTTGAATATTTATGCCGAATTCTGCCCTCAGCCCGTCTTTTTTATCATTTTTGGCAACCTTCTTGAAGAAATGAACACGACTTTGGACACCAACTACTATGTTAAAATCATGGCTTGGCTGGGAGTAGGCTCGGGACGAATCCATCAAATGCTGCTCAAAACTAGTTCTTGTTGTTTCAAATATTTGCGCTGCACAGCATCCATATCCCCTAGAGAGAGTGAGGGCATCTGTACTGAAACAAAAATGCTCGGACTTCTGTGTGCTTGTGTTTTGCGCAGTTTGGAGCCTTTCTCGGAGCTTGTACTTCGACGTCTTGTTTTGAAATCGTCGCCGACAGACAGTCGAAGGCATTCAAGGAATCTTATTTTAAGTCGATTATACGACAGGTCCGACTTTATTTGCATCTGCTATGTTGAAGTGAGAACTTGGTGAAGGGCTCGAACGCTGATGCATGCGCGCGCATGTTCAACTTGACTCAGGAAATGGCTTGGTATGACCAGTGCAACGTGGCCAGTTTGGCTTCACGCATGGAAGCGAATGTGGCTTCCATCCGGAGCGGAATCGGGTTGAAACTGGCAATGGTGAGGCATCATTCGCCGATTCTAGTTGAGTGGAAGTCTTGATTCGACAGTATTGCAGCTTTCTAAAGCTGGTTTGCCTGCGAAAGACGCAACTTATTTCCGACAGCACACAATGGCGGTAAACCCGTGGCTACGAATGCTTAGTTCTCCGACACCGCCCACAATGGCTTCTGCTTCGGAACCTGGTTGTGCAGCGCATGAATCTCTTCCCGTGCATGCAGCTTATTCAGCTTTCCACAGTGGTTGTTGGCGCTATTGTTGTTGGTTTTATTAAAAGCTGGAAGCTTACGCTTGTCTCTGCGGCGGCAGTTCCCGTTGTCTTAGGTTTTGGCCTCTTGGTTGCTTGGGCTGTTCGCAAGCAGGAAAGCGACAGTAAGCCGCCCTTTAAGAACTTTCTGGGGACATTTGCCAATGACAATACCACTGAATGCACAGGCTTATCACCGCTAAACGTTGTGCATATTCATATGATTTGGATTTTGTGTGTGCGTTTCCTCCTGCGCATCTAATTCCCCAACAACAGCTATCGATTCCTACGCTAGTGCTGGAAGCGTTAGTGAGGAGGCGTTTATGTCAATAAGAACAGTCGTATCTCTTGGAATAGAAGGATTTATGTCGAAGAAATATAAAAGCAAGCTCGAGGAAGCTGAGCGAGCCGCGCTTCATGCAACCTTTTGGGTGGCATTGGGTGAGCTCATACGCTTCTGCAGTGGGAACTTCTTCGGCAAATCTTAGCAAAGCAGATACAAGGAGTGAAAAGCTGATATTTCATGCACTGCATCTCGTAAATTACTTCATTCAGGCCTGGCTGGGTTGATGACCTCAATGTTTTTGATGAGCTCTTTGGCCTTGTGGTATGGAGGAGAGCTTCTGGCCAACAGCACAGAGGATGCTATTAAAGGTACGACCAGGGCTTCGTTCTTTGGCCGATGAAGTTGAACAGTCTCGTCAGTACAAACTACTCGCATTAGTTCGCGTCTCATGCTTAGTTTAGACTTGATTGACAACTGTGGGTAAATGAGGACATTAGCTGTGTTCTTCGTTCTTCTCTTTAGTCTTGACAGTTCCAGTGGACGAAAACGACCCTTCTACGTGGCCAAAGCCGGCTTTCTCGGGTGCAAGTGCAATTACAGTCTTCTTTTGCATTTTAATCGGAGCATTTTCCCTGGGTCAAATCATCAACAACGTCACGGCGTTGGTCAAGGTTAGCATTTCGATTTCAGTGAACCAGCAACTGCATGTGATTAGAAAGACAAGGGGTACTCATTGTAGCCGAAACAAAGCAGGGAGTCAGTTGCACTAGATAGAGTGGCTGCATGTCTTTTGTCTTCTCTGCTTTTAGGCAAACACTGCGGCAATGGATTTGGAAGAAGTCATCGAACGGACTTCAGCCATTGACCCGCTTGCCAGCGGAGGCCGTGTAAGTAGTGAAGCGCCACCCGCGACAAGTATTAGAATAACTATAGTGGGAAAAGGGGCACTACATCGCGTCGCCTTTCGACAGCAGGCACGATTCTCCACTTTGAAATAAATTGCATTCTTTTTCAAGTCGGGAACTACAGGCATAAGGCCTGCGGACGCGTTCTTGCAGACGGATGTCAAACTTGATGGAGATATCGAGTTCAAAAATGTTGCATTTTCCTACCCATCCCGACCAGATCGTCCTATTTTTACCAATCTGAACCTTCGCATCCCGGCGGGAAAGTGCGTCGCGCTTGTGGGAGGCTCCGGTGAGCATTCTTTATTGACAAACTGCATGCAAAATTGATTGTCTGCTGCAGTTACGCTTAACTTATATAGCTTAAGAAGGCCATAGTAACATCCAGCGGTGCTGCTGCAAAAGTGTTTGGTGTGCCTGCAGGCTGCGGCAAGTCGACTATTCTGCAGTTGCTTCAACGAGTGTACGACTGCGATAGTGGTACTGTCACCGTTGGCGGCATGTAAGTACAAACACTTTTTTCATGGGCAAATCACATTTAAAGTGGCAATATAGCATGCTGATTATATTCAGCTTTTAGCAACTCTTGTCCACTCTTCTGTGTGCGTCCTTAGACCGACTCGGGACATCAACGTGGCAACTTTAAGGCGGCACCTAGGGGTCGTCAGCCAAGAGCCAAGGCTTTTTTCAACCACCGTGAGCTTCATCTTCCTTTAGTGTGGGACTGTGGAATGCACACATGCAAGAAGTGAAGTCCAGCAGCATGTGACTCTGTAAATTTTTTCTTGAACTTCGTAACGCACTATATGCCTGAAAGCACCGCCTCATAGTGGCGCCTGCACACTGTTGGCACAACACGGTGTTCCTTTTGCGCCTCACTTCTGTGCTGAGTTTAGGTGCGAAAAAATATAGAACTTGGGTCTCCAGATCCAGTGACTATGGAGCAAGTGATAGCAGCAGCCAAAGAGGCAAATGCTGATGGATTCATTACCCGCTTCCCTGAAGGATATGAGACAGACTGCGGCGCCTACGGAGGACAGCTGTCGGGCGGTCAGAAGCAGCGCATTGCTATCGCGAGAGCACTTGTATGTCGTCTGAGTCAAAAGCGTTCTCAAGGCAACTGCAAGCAGGCTTGCACTGACAAATGCGATCATATTTCTTGATAAATTTTGTTTATTTCCTAGATTCTGCTGAAGTGCACACGCAAACTCGAACATTCGACTAATAAGCCACTTTGAACAGCAAGTGCTTGGATGGCTCCTACTTATGCTGCTGCACTGCTCAGATCCGTCGCCCGAACATTTTGATTTTCGACGAAGCCACTTCGGCTCTGGACACTCAGTCTGAGAGGGTGGTCCAGGTGGGTTTAGTCTGAGTGCTGCGGTTTTGAATCTCTTGGAAGTCCTTTCAACAGTTTCAACATTGCCTTAATATGAAGACGAAGCTGCTCTGTGGCTGCCGTTTCACAGGACGCTCTTGACGCACTAGTTCAAACGAGCAAAGCCACAACACTGATTGTTGCCCACCGCCTCAGCACAATCCAGAATGCAGATCTTATCATTGTGTTGGAGCCATCGCCTCAAGGAGCTACTGTTGCCCAGCAGGGAACTCACCACGAGCTCATGAAGGACACGGTGAGTCTTGTGCGATTTCATTCGCATTTTAGTGAATTTGAACCTTGAGATGCGCAGCAGACTTATTGCTTTCAGCACGTTACTTGTCACTCGCTTCACTCCACATGCAACGAAATAGTTATTTCCCACTTGTTCTACACAAATATATTTTATTTTTAACTTCAAAATATAGTAAAGCTTCACAAGGTCTTCCTGTCCAGGTGTAAAATGGTTAGAGCCTTCGCCGGGAGAACCCATTTTTAATTAAACACGGAACTAGCGGGATTCGAACCTGCGTCTTCACCGCTGGGCCTGAGTAGTACGCTCGCAAGAGTGAAACTCAAAGGAATTGACGGGGACTCGCGCCTATAATTTAATATATAATACTTTTTTTTGTATTTTTTTATATTTAAAGTGAATGTAATGAAAAGGTATTATTAAAGTAGCATAATATTTATTAAATTCTAAAATAAATCCTATTTGTTTTTTCATTTAATCAAATATGCCTGTGGAGTTGTTTATATTTAATACGGAAGGAGAGATTTGAACTCTCATAGAAAAATTCTATTGGAACCTAAATCTATCGCGGATACCTTATCTCGCCAAAGCACTTCTTCCAGTCTTGGAAAAGATGAAGTTCTGCGTTTTGTCTTACAGACAGGACTGTATTATCACTTAGTCTCCAGCCAGATTGTCCCCACCGTCGACGAAACTGAAGATGACACGACACCTCAACCAGTCAAGCGGGAAGAGTCTGAACCTGATGATCTCGAGGCCCCTTCGGCGAAAGAGGTAAAGAAAGCATCTTGATAGGAATGCAAGTAGTTTCATTTCGTCTTCCCACTTCATGGAATTTCAGTAGTAGCAGAAAAATCGCAAGTACGAGTTTCCCTATTTCGAAGGAAGTTTCGACAAGTGGCAGCGGGCCACTGAGCTCAGCAGATGCTGTCAACGTCACAGGAGGGCTCAATAGCTTGGGAACTCAAACAGCGTTTGTTCGCTTAGTATAGGATTGCAAACTTGATTGGATGCCAGTTTGAAAACTTAAAAGTTATTTTTGCTCAAATTAAGACCTATGTAGTGCTTCCACTGGAGCTGAATGGTACAATTTTCCTGCTGTACACTTCTGTGGTGGCAGACGTGGCGGGAGTCCATGAAACATGTGGGTAAGTGCCAAAACAAGAGTTACTTATCGTAAGCACCTCGGAACTTTGTCAGAACAAGTCGAGAGTGAGGAAAAACGGAGCAAGCTGTCGTTTCCGGCGCACTGGATTACGCTGAGGCTGCTCGTGTGTGTGTTTTGTAAACACTTAGGAGGGTCTATTGCTCATGTTTCTCGATCACTGACGCACAGCCCGAATTTCCGCACCTACAAGATTATTTTGAAGCACTGGGTAGTTGTGCTCCTGACTTTGATTGCAGCAGCTTGTGCTGGGTACGGCTGGCGTTTAAAGCTCAATTCTCCTTTAACTCCTCGTCAGCTCACCTTGCGTACTTCTTTGTTTTGTTTGCTTCCACTTGGCAGGACCATGTTGGTATTTTGATGTGATTCATTAACTTACTGCGTTTTTGTTGTTCAAGTTCTGCGTTTTCTGGCCACAGTGTAATTTTCCCTGTCTTCGGCTACTCGTTCGCGCACTTCATCTCCACCTACTTCAGCCCTGATCCTCAGGCCATTCGTGATGGAGTATGCCGTTTAATAGTTTTTAAAAGACCAAATTTCAATAGCGGAACATACATAACATGGAACACACATGCTCCACAATGCTTCAAGAGTCCTCCATTCGTGCTTCATTGCGTTAGCCTTTGCCTATCGTCTACTTATTCGCATTTTTGTGTAGTTCAGAATACTCTTAGAAGCTTTTTTGAATATTTTTCTGGTCTTCCAGGTTGCAAAGTGGGCGTTGATTCTCGTTGGCCTAGGATTCGCCCAAGGAATAGTGGACGCAATCAAGATCTTCGGCATAGATTTCTGTGGCTATAAAGTCGCAACGGCTTTACGAGAAAAGGCTTTCCACCAAACCGTTCACCAGGACATCGCCTTCTTCGATTTGAGTGAAAACAATGCAGGTGCTTGTCTTCTTCTGACCAGCAGCAGCCATCAATTTCAGTCAGACAAATTGTAACAAGTGACATAAACGGCTAGAAAATGCGCATTTTGCCTTTTTTTCAGGGAAATTGTGCAGCATTCTGAGTGCGGATGTCCTCGACGTCAAGGTTGGATGCACAGGCAACGTGGTTTCGGTCGTTCAAGTTTTTGCATCATTCGCCACGGGTGTGCAGCAACGAAACGCAAGAGTTTGGAAAGCGGGAACTGCTGCAGCGAATCTCCGGCAAATTTAGCTTTCTTCCACTCTTTTTGTTGCTGCATTTGTGGTTGCAGGTCTTATTATTGCGTTCTGCGGCGAGTGGAGGCTGGCTCTGGTCATCCTCGCGTTTTGCGTGCTGTTGGTTCCGGCTAACGTCATCGAGGCCAAAATGGGCAGTGCGTTTCCCGGCACCGCTTCCAAGAACGTTGCTGGACCCTATTTCTATGCCAATTAAGTGCTAAATAAATATTATTTTTGTTGAAGTTTCTTTATTGCCTGAAATATTCGTTTTATCACGCAGACCCAGCACCTACGCACAAAGTACGACAGGGTGATGAAGTGAAAGGCGCGCCCATGATCATGAACCAGGCAACTTCTGGAATCAGGGTGGTCAGTGCGTTTGGTCTTGAAGAGGTGAGCATTTTCGTTTCTTTATTATCATATTTATTATTATTATTATTACTGTTACTATTATCGATTATTATCCTCCCAAAGCTCCGAAAATTTGGATTAAAATCGATTTATTGGGTATGTTTTGCTGGATTCCCGCCACAGGTATTCATCAAAAGCTACACCGAAGAAATTGAAAAGGAACAGTCGACAAAAGTCAAAGAAGGAGTTGTCCTGGGGCTTGCCTACGGCTTCAGCCAGGTGAAATCAAATACATATACTGTGTATAATATATAATATATGCAATATGTGTCTATAATATATCTATGTATATATATATATGTATATATATATATATATATATATATATATATATATATATATATATATATATATATATATATATATATA